CAATTAGGAAACTTGCAAGTATTCTTAAATGTTAGTTAATACTAATCTCAGTAGGCCATCAGATGTCAATGATAATGTCATTGAATCCTTTGCCGTCGCACAGCGATGGCATTCTGGAGTATTTGATGAGGTAATTTTGGAGTATCAGGCAAAAGAGATTTTTTGAAATGGAAGTTGCCGAAGTACCAGTTTTCAGCATGGGAAAATGAGAGACTGAGTGCAGGGAGGGACCGTGAGAGCAGGGGAAGAAGCAGGCAGGTGTTTGCAGTGATGGGAAAATAAATTTTGAGAAATCTGTTTAGATGCTGTTGGGTTGCCCGTGGAAACATAGAAGGTGTGGGGAGACATCTTTAATCTACATTTGCCGTGCACTATTAAAGACATACCTAGCAGAGCTGCACTGTGCTGTTACTTGAGCAGAAGATCACCAACAGTAAGTGAAAGTCGGGCTTTTGGGTGTATTTGTTTGCCAGCTAGCACTAAGGAAACTTTGGGTTCTTCTTGATCAAACTGATACCGGGGGATTCCTCAGTCTTGTAAATTGGCAGTCTCTATGGAAATCACCACCAAAAGAGAGAAGGTCACTTAGAAATCCTTACATGTACTGATTGCTAAAGTGACATTGAAGTCTGGTGGCAAATATGCACATCTTCCCTCCTGAGCAGCTATGTGGGTCATCTTGATCTTTTCATGTGGAGAAGGGCAGCTGGGCCTCTGTTAGCTTGCAAGTCTCAATAGCAGAAAATGTGCTGGTGCGCCTTGTGCTGCCATTAGCCAAATCTTGTTTCCATTGTAGCTGTGGCAGTAGGAGTAGCCTAATAAGAAGGCAAATGAGTCTGAGTCCTTATGCTTGTATTGGTATTGGGGCTTATTAGATGCCTTCATGTGTTTCTGAAGCATGGCTTCAAGACTTGAGTCTTCAGAGAAAGCAAAAACCTCTCCTTAATGGCATGAAGCAGAGAGGACCTGGAAGCAGAGAGGAAGGAGCTGGGATCTTTAGAGTGCGTTCTTTGTGTGGATTAATAAAACATAGCCTCTTTTCCCTGCCTCTCAGGAGGTTGAATTTAAAGTTGACCTAGGTGGTTCTGAAGGTGACTTAGAGATGGGTAGTGCATGAATTTGGTTTTAAGATTTTGTTCTAATTTCCCATCAAAACATAGCATTTTCAGTGCAGACTAAAGCTATGGTGTGGGAGAAATGGTGACACAGTATCTGAGAAAGTGAAAGATGCGTAACAGAGGGAAAGAGGGAAAGATTCTTAACCTTTATATTGTACCTGAGGACTTGGAGAAAGGCCTAAGTAGGTAAAAATGTAAGGCAGTACTGAAGCTTTTTTTCCTCTCTTTTTTCCACAGTAGTTCAGTTGAAGAAAGTAGAATACGACAGGGAAAAAAAATCAAACACTGAATTACTCAGGACTTGAAAGAGAGTAGCATCCAGTAGATTTGTTAAGCTACCTTTCATAAAAGAACCTAACTTCTGATTTTCAAGAGCTCTGGAGCTTGTCTTGCAACTCTGCCAGGTTGAAATTTTTTTTTTTCCTTACCCTCCTCCTGTTCCTAACAACCACTTGCAGATTAGTTGTTTGTGTTGTTGTTGTTGTTGTTTTTAATTATTTTTCTCTTGAATTTAAAGACTTTGACAGATGGCACAAGTGGAATCTGGAAACCTTCCTGGGTTGGCAGTGACCATACTGTTGCCATCTCCCTGTTGTGCGGCAGTAGGTGTGTGGGCTTTGTGCTTCCAGAGGTGCCATTCCCTTTGCTGAGGGTATGTAAGGAGCAAGTGATAGACCAGAAAGCATAGCATAGCCTGGTGACAAGCGTAATTTCTAGTTAATAGGTAACTTAATCTACTGGTTTGCCAAGTAATTTCAATGCAAGTAGAAGCAGCTCATTGAGACCAGCATTAATCTCCAGGATACATACCTATGTGAATATCAGTGTTTGTTTAGATTATGCAAGTTGGTTCAATACTTTTGAGAGACTGAGATGTCATGCCTCACAATAGACTATTCTTTAGACTTGTGGATATCATACTGAAAGCGAATCTTCTTTCAACCTTTGAAATTGGGTTTATCCTGACTGTACATTGTTCAGGGCTACTGTCCATGGAAGACCTCCTTGGCCATTGAAAACATGTGAAGTCACTTGGTTTTCAATGTGCCCAAATTGTCTGGGTTTATGCTGCATAACTGTTGTTCTATGTCCATGAATGTACTGAGTTTTGTGACAGTAATTGACTGCAAAGCTGGTTTTCTACTTAAAAGCCAATGGAATTTCCCTCCCTCATCTACTGCATCTAAAGGGCAGAAAACTGGCACTTGAATATCTTTCTTCCTTTCTGTGATGTTTAATGTGCATGGGAGAACATGTGAATTTGTGTACAGGCTAAAAATCATGTTTAAAGACAATAGTAAAGAAAAAGTTGGTTATTTTTTAATCCTCTTATTCACTGAACATGTGAATTGATTCAGAGTTCTGCTCCTATAAAATATCACATATTAGTGTTGTGCTACAGTAAGGCCTTAGATCTCAAAGGTGAGCAAAGGCTTTTTGTATTATTAGGGCAAGAGTACTTTGATAAACTGCTTTTAGACAGACAAAAGAGATGTGATCTTAAATCAGTGTTAATGTATGACTGACAAGGAATGATATCATCTAAAGATTATTGCTTTCCTCTGTTTCTGCGGTGTTAACAAGTGAATACTGAAGAATGTAGCAGTGAAGCAAATAGGTCTTGATAAATTATGCAGTCTTGACTAGAGCTATTGTTTGAGGTAATTGATGATCTTCCACTGCTGTAATGGAGCTGTAGCATAAACTGCAGCACACCCTAGAGCAGACAAATTGGTTTGGTATTGTTTAGGAACGTATTTAATCTCTCTTGCTGTAAGTGAAGCAGTGGCTTTTGCTGAAACATCAAGATAAAGGCCATCATTTTGATACTCAGTTCAAAGAAACCCACAGTTGGATTTACAGCAGTCCTGATTTCCTGTTCTCTAAATACTGAAGTAATCAATAAATGTAAAATTATTGCAATGCAAGGCTGAATTCTTTTGCTATATCCCTTTAGGTATAGTTTCTTCAATCTTTGTGGGTTCAGAGGCTAGTAATACAATTCTCTGTTCTTATTGTACTGTACCAACTACAGAACAGTTGATCCTGTGCTTGCCTAATTTCACTTTAGAGGTACTTAGAAAACTGTACTCCCAAAGTTAAAAGGTTTTTTTAATTGTTTTTTTTCTTTGTTTCTTTGTATGTTTTTGTTTTTATGATCAGCCAAGATTTAAAGGATTTTTGTGAATTTCTGTTTAAGTTTTCCAGAACCTACTAGAAGAATGAGAAATCTCACTCTGAAAATGAAATTCTTCAGTTCTCTTTTAAGAGGTGTGGAGTGGGAGCTAGGGAGCTGTAGACCACTGTGTTTAGAGGCTTCTATGATGAACGGTCCTAGCAACAAGTTGGCCTCATCTCTACAGAATTACATGGTTGAGGTAGTCTTTCCCTTTCCTCCCTCCATCCCCACCGCCCCCCTCCCCCCAAAAAAAACAACCAAACAAAAAACCAAAAAAACCCAAACACTGAACAAATGAATTCAGTAAGATTTTAGTCTTAAACTTAAGTAAATGGTATGGACAAAGTATCTTGAATAAACAACTTGATTTATCCATACTGAATTTCTTGCTATTGCCAGAAACTGTTTTCTGCCAAGGCAGTAGGCTATAGGAATTGACCCCAGAAAGTTAGTGCCTCAGGAAAACCTCAGAAGCACAGTAGCTTCTTCCTGGAAAGAAGCTCCCCTTTCTGAAGGGCAGGGAGGCTGCCTTATCTTAGCCAAATCTATCCTCGAGCTAGATAGAATAGAGCTGCCTCAGAGAGGGAATGGTTTCCTTGGGCTATAGGCTGCACCTCCTCTTGGGGCAGTTTTCCCAAGGTCTTTTACCTTTGTTCATGACTTCACTGTCACATAAATCTCCCCAAGAGCTTTGGTTTGGTAATAGTTCATGTCTACTGGAGAGCTGTAAACTTAGTCTGTTGTTCTGAGAACATAGTTGATAATTGTAATAGTGAACTAGACAAGAGAGTGCTTGTGGTAGAAGCAAAAGTTCTGTATCTGCTTTGCAGTCTCCTCTCTTGCTTCCACCCATCCATTCTTTTATTTGCTCAGAAGTGAAGTAGCTTGGCTGACATTGCAGAATATTTTACACTGGATGCAACTGGTTGGGAGAAACATTGGGAGTAGCAAATACTGTTTAACATACATGCTTTTGTTTAGCTTTTTTCCTTTCTTCACATGCAGTGGTCTTATTTATTTTAGTACTGTTGTTTTTTTTAATTAGTTTTTATTTCTTTAGCCAGATGCGCCTTTAAATATGTTTAAATTGTTTCTGAGTGTAGAGGTGTTGCTTAAAAGAAATACTGCTTAGCTTACCAAGTTGCTGTTAATAATCAGTTGGAGATGGAAATGCAAGACTTGAATGCAAATTTACATGGGAAATCTGACTGATGTACAACATGAGAATGAAGCTGCGGGGGAAAAGACATGCTGGAGAGGATAAAGGGGAGAGGTTGTATAGCTAGATATTGAATGGCTACTGATGGTGGTTGTTGCATTAACTACCAGATTTCAACCTTTTTTTTTTCTTTTTTTTTTTCCCCCCACAATTGAGAATGTAGCGTTGGCTGATAAGTGCCAGACCCTGGGGGGCTTGGGTCTGTGTGAGATGAATGGCTTTCTCTGTTGCCTGGATCATGAAAATAGAGGATCCACCCAGCCTGGGAACAGTGTTGTAGGCTCTTTTCCCTATAAAGAAATATCAATTTGAATATGTATTCTAGGCTACAGACAGCAAACTTGCAGATTTGCTACTTCAAGTTGATGCAAATCCTTGTCACCTCATCTTGCTCTTCTCGGTCTTCCCCCCTCCAACTGTTTTCAATAATAAGTTGATGTGATGTCTTCAGTATGGTTTCTGACAGTTTGTTTGTACTCTGCAGGTCCTGTGAAGCACTAGATGTAATTTGAAGAAAATTTGAACGAACAAATGGCTTTAGCTGGCTGCCCAGACTCCTTTTTACATCTTCCTTATCGGATAGTAAGTTATGAAATTGCATGTGCATGTCAGCTTGTAGCATCATATTGCTATGTGCCAGTGATTGATTGTGCATTCAAACTTTTCATCGAACTGCTAATAGCTGTCTGGCAGTTCTCTGGGTTTTGCTAAGATTTAGTAGCAGAGCCTCTGTTACCATCCTGTATTTTAGTCCTGTTGAAAAAATTGGGTCACTAACACATAATAATTTGGGTCACTGGTTAAGACTTGATACTTGTCCTCAAAATAGTCGGTTCATATTTGAAAGAAGGCACTTGGTCTTCACTGTCCTATCTCCTCTGCTCCTCCCTTCTCTCCCCTTCCCTACCCCCCTCAAAAAAAAAAAAAAAAAAAAAAAAAAAAAAAAAAAGATGCAGTACTGGTTAAATGTCTTGCACCAAAAAGGATTCAACTTGCTTAATGCTGCATTTGTACAAACAATGGTAGAGATTTTTATACTTGGTCATGTCTTAAGTTTGTGCTGTATCTAAACAGCCAATATGGCATATTTCAAAGAATATTAGATTTAAAATGAACAAACAAACAAAAAACACCCTAATTTAAAGGTCCTAGGCAAAAATGCATTCAACTTCTCATGTTTTTTTTTTTGTGTGTGTGTGTTTTCTCTAGGCAGTTTTTGGTATAATGCATTCTTTGTAATTTTTATGGAACTGCAAATCTGTTATTTCAGACATGATCTGTTTTTTTACCCTTTTTTCTCTTGTTGTCATACAGTGCTTACTGCCCCAAGGATTCAGTTATGAATTTGGGCCCTGCAGATACATAAATGATTAAAAAGAATATACTACAGTATAGAAAACTTTTCTCTCTTTGTCCCAAGAGAAACATTACTAATAGTAATTACTAGTCATGCTGCATATCTGAGGAAAAAAAAATCCTCAATAGGGTACTCATCTGTTTCATAATATGCCAGCTAACAATTTTTTCCCAACAGGAAACTTCAAATTTATTAACTAATTACTATTAGTCGCTAATTATACTAATGCTGGTATATGCTGAATTGCCAGCTGAATGTACCTGAAGACTTTTCCTGGTAGCATGAGAAATATAACAATTCCTTTATAACTGCTAGAATGCAGTTCAAGAAATCAGGTTTTCTGCAAATCTGTTGTTATATATTTAGGTGTAGTTTTAAAAGGCTACATGAATAGATGGACTTCATAAGCGTGCTGCTCTTTGAAATTATGCTGCCAATTCATCTGGAGCATCACCTGAGTAGTGATTCTAGGCTGAGGGAAAGAACATTGAGAGAGAAATGTGACACTTGTAGGCAGTGTAGGCAGTTGTTTTTGAGCTGCAAATTCTTATTGGATGTTAAACTTTCTCATGAAAACAGTGTGTTTAGTACTCCTGTTCAACAGCCTTGAAGTACATCAAAGGGCTGTTGGTTCATGACAACTAAGAATGTGAATTTCCCTTGCTTTTCCAAACCCTATAGATAATCGGCTTTAGTCTAGGGCAGTCTAGAGGCTGGAATTCTCAAAGTGACATGGGCTACTTAAGACAGTGGAAAAGCGACTCCCTGTTAGTTAGTATTTTTGGTCATAGCTTATTTTGTGTTAGCTATCCTGAGTGCTTGTAACAGGTTTAAAGATGAGCTTTGGAGGCCTATTGACAACTATCACGCCTTCTGTCAGAAGTTAAGTTCACATGGAAAAAAAGTGGACATCTGTTTTTTCACCCCTCCTAGACCTGACTTAAAAGCTTTCATCAACTTATCTTTCAGTTTTGGCTACAGTGCCGGTTTTGTGTTGGTAAAGGGATGAAAGAAGGTTAAAGGAAATATGCTTTAGACTAGAGTGTGAGGAGTATTCGATTTTTTTGTAGTACATTTTCTGACTTCAGAATGGAGGCCTGTACAAAACACTTCTCCAGAGTCCCTGAGGCTGGAATCTTATAGCAGCAACTTCAGTATTTAGAATAAATTGACACATTCGAGTTTGGGATTACATTTAAAACATATGGCAAAAGAACTGAGAGCCTTGCTAGGTGAATATGCACCACAGAATGCCCTTTAGAATGGCCTGTTGCCGAGCTACCTTTACCCTCTTATTTTTGGGGGGAGAGGAAGGATATGCATCTCTTGACTTCTGTATTGGGCTCTTCATTTGCAATGTTTCTTGCTTTTAGAAGCTTTGAGGTCTTTGTTAAGAGCTTATTTTATTTATTTATTTATTTATCTATCTATCTATCTATCTATCTATCTATCTATCTTCGTTTTCTCAGGAGTTAGCACGTAAACCAGTTTTACTGTGTGTATTCTCCTAGAAACAATCTCTAGCATTGTGGAAAAAATCAATACTACCTTTTAGTGGCTTTCAGGAGCCCTTTCCAAATTCTCTAACTCTTCAATAAAAATCCGGCAGTGAGAATTGGCAGTGTTTGTCTTCTGTTCCTGGAAATTCAGAACATAGTCCCAGAATTTCTCAGAAAAAAATGGGATGATTTACTGTGTTTCCGTTCTTTTGCAATCTGTAGTCACAACAGTATTTATGTGCAGTGACTTGAACTCTTGGGGAAGATTTAGTTCTTTAACCCTTTGATGCATTAATTGTACAAGTCTTAGTGACATAAATAGCAAAATGATGTTTTTCTTAGCTTCTAAAGATAAAATTCTAGGCATGTGGGAATTAGGTGTTCTGTTCATCTTCTATTTTCTCCCTTCTGTTTATTTTCTCATAACCGTGATGCTGGAATGACTTTCTGAATAATTAAGCTTCACAGAGTTTGGTTTTTGAGAGCTGGATTCTTACTAGAGCAAAAACTTGTTCACATCGTACTCTATGGCTAGCTATGCATAAAATGCACTACAAGCACTTGATCACAAAATGGAAAAGAATGGAAATTGTTTTTTCCCACATTTATAGCCTGATGCATTTCAGGGTTGGTCCTGTTGACCAGGTGAGATGGGATAGTATTGCATGTTATTCTTGAGAAGCTTTGTGCCCTTGAAGATCAGGGAAGTAAACACTTAATAGAAGTAATCAGAGTCTAGCTAGTGAAATAAGAGCTTCTTCCTAAATGCTGTTAGAATTGTAATTGTGAAGAAAATTGATTGCTGTTAATACCACAGAAGTAGTTACACTTTGCCTTGAGCTGGATACAACGAAGTACAAGTTTTCTGGTTTTAGTATGGCACTTTTGATTCTTGTTTTCTGTAAAATCATACACTGAATTGAAAGGTATCTTTGGAGATTATACGATCAAAGTCTGCAGCATCTTGAGGTTATATCTGTTTTGCAAGACTGCTTCATCTCTGTGAATTATGGGGTTTGGGGGTTATTTGCTTTGATTGGGTGTTTGAAGAGGGTATCTGTTTTAGCAGAAAGAAAGATAATCATATAGTCATAGAATGGCTTGGGTTCGAAGGGACCACAATGATTATCAAGTTCCAAATCCCCTGCTACAGGCAGGTTTGCCAGCCACTAGGTCATGCACTAGATCAGATTGCCCAGGGCCCCATCCAATCTGGCCTCAAACATCTCTAGTGATGGGGCATCCACGGCCTCTCTCGGCAACCTGTTCCAGCACCTCACCACTCTCTCAGTAAAAATCTTCCCCCTGACACCTAATCTGGATCTCTCTTCCTTTAGTTTAAAACCTTCCCCTTTTGTCTTGTCACTATCTACCCATGTGAAAAGTTGATTTCTCTGATGTTCATATACTGCCTTTAAAGATTGGAAGACCACAATGAGTTCTCCCCACAGCCTTCTCTTTTCCAGGTTTAACAAGCCCAATTCCTTCAGCCTGCCTTCATAGGAGAGCTGCTCTGGCCCTTGGATCATCTTCATGGCCCTCCTCTGGACCCTCTCCAAAAGCTTTGCATCTCTCCTGCTTTGGGGGCCTCAGACCTAAACATGGTACTCCAGCTGAGGCCTCACGAGGGCAAAGAAGAGAGGAATAATCACCTCCCTGTCCCTACTGGCCACCCCTTTTCTGAGGGAGTCCAGGATACCATTCACCTTCTGCACTGCAAGCATGCACTGCTGGCTCATGTTAAACTTATCATGAACCAGGACCCCTAAGTCTTTCTCAGCATGGCTACTCTCAGGGAGTTCTTCTTCCAGTTTGTATACATGTCTGGGGTTACCAGTCGTTACAGGCCTCCACTTGGACATAGAGCTGTTGACCACAACCCTTGGCTGTGACCTTCCAACCAATTCCTTATCCACCTTTAGTAGATAGTCCATCCTTTAAATTCATATATGTCCAATTTAGAGATAAGGATGTGGTGAGGGGTGACGCCAAAGGCCTTGAAGAACTCCAGGTAGATGATATCAGTTGCCTTTCCTTTGTCCATTGATGCTGAATTGGTTAGGCATGACCTGTCTTTAGTGAAGCCATGCTGTCTTGGGTCACCACTCATCCCTCATGTGCTTTAGTATGTCTTCCAGGATGATCTGTTACATGACCTCCCAGGCATTCCTTCTTCTTGTTTTTAACATCCCTCACCAAGTTTAATTCCATCTGTGCCTTGATTTTCCTAATCCTATCTCTGCAAGTCCAGACAGCATCCCTGTATTCTTCCCACGTGATGTACATGTGTATCTCAGAATTGCCTTGATAGATGTCAGAAACCTAGTTTGTATGTGACTTAGTCTCATCTCTGCTGCTTTAGGATAGAATAGTCTGATATTCAGTATCAGTGTAGGTGTATGTGATTCTATATGCACTATTTTTATGTGAATGAAATGTCTTCATTGCTTTGTTAGAAAGCATGAAAAATCACTTGCAGAATTTTTGTCCACGTGGCCTGAAAACCTATGTGGGCAGAGTTGCAGAGTTGTCAAGAGGAATGTTTTGCCTCCATGTCTGCCTGACACTGTTGGAAACGCCTTCATTTATTTTGTGTCAAGGAGAGAGTATGCAGATATTCTTTCTTATGATTTTTAAGATTCAAAATAGTGATTTAACTTACACTCTTTGGGCTTAAATGTACAAGAGTTTGATCCAGAATTTTTTTTGTGTCTCAACAGGGCAAT